CAAAGTGGTTTCTATTGGCCGACCTTATATAAAGAGTGCTATATTTTTGGGAATCAGTGTGATCGATGCCAGTGGATGGGCAATATTTCTAGACGCCATGAGATGCCTATGACGAATGTGATCGAGGTCGAGTTGTTCGATGTTTGGGGGATTGACTTCATGGGCCCGTTCCCTTCCTCATGTGGGAACCGGTATATATTACTTTCTGTTGAGTATGTTTCTCGTTGGGTGGAGGCAATTCCCTCGATCACCAATGATGCCGTTGTTGTTCTCAAGTTTCTCAAGAAGCATATTTTCACACGGTTTAGAACCCCGAGGGCTTTAATCAGTAATGGGGGGTTCTCACTTTATGAACAAATTGATGGAGAAGCTTCTTTCAAAGTATGGCGTCAAGAATAAAGTGGCCTTAGCCTATCACCCGCAAGCAAATGGGCAAGCAGAGGTGGCGAACCAAGAAATCAAGCACATATTGGAGAAGACACTGAGCACAAGTCGGAAGGATTGGTCGTTGAAGCTCGATGATGCACTTTGGGCCTATCGCACAGCCTATAAGACACCATTGGGATCGTCTCTATACATGCTTGTTTTCGGTAAGTCGTGTCATCTTCCGGTTGAGTTAGAGCATCGAGCTATGTGGGCTGTGAAAAAGATAAACTTTGATTTTCACGAGGCGGGTAAGAAAAGGCTTCTCGATTTGAATGAGTTGGAGGAGTGGTGTGATGAGTGTTACGAGAATTTGCGAATTTACAAGGAGCGAACGAAGAAGTGGCATGACCGGATGATCCACAAGAGAGAATTTTTTCCGGGAGAACAAGTCCGTCTGTTTAATTCACGATTGAAGTTATTCCCGGGAAAATTGAAGTCGAGATGGTCGGGGCCTTTCGTGATTAAGAAGGTGTTGCCACCGGGAACAGTTGAATTGGTTGCACGAGATAGAGAGACCTTTATAGTCAACGGATCAAGCATTACTTTCATCCATATCAGAATGACAAGTAGTCCTACATGACTTTGAAGGAGCCGTGATCGATTATGAACAGGCGTGTGGCTGAAGACGTTAAACTTAGCGCTAGTTGGGAGGTAACCCAACGGTTTTATTGCTTTCTTGTTTTTATTTATTGTAGGATAGTTTTTTTTTGTTATTTTTGTTAGTTTTTATTTCTCTTAATTTAAAAAAAAAAAATATCCCAGGGGTGTGACACGGGCTCGAACACAGCCATTTCGGTCGTGTCACAGACCGTGTCACGTCGACAGAAACCACATTTGCTGAAGGGCACGACACGGGCGTCGACACGGACACTAAGGCCGTGTCACGACCCGTGTCAAGTATAACAGGAAAAATAAAGTACCAGGGGTGCGACACGGGCTTCAACACGGGTAACCCGACCGTGTCACGGCCTGTGTCGCGGGGATAGCAGCATTAAAAACATAATCCCTCTTCACTTTTACTTAGAAATTTTTGAACCCTTTTTTCTCATAAACCCTAGAGCACCATCCCTTGGCTCACTTTGAGATTTTAAGGCATTCTCCTACTCGAATTTGTCTCAAGTATCTTCTATTACCTTCATAATTCCATAGTTGTGCAATTCTTTCCCCTCTTTTGGAACTTAAAAGAAGACTTTGAACTCACTTTGGGACTAGGCTCGGATTTTTCTTTATCTTCACGAATTCGGTATGTGTTTGTGCTTATTATCTTCTTGATGTGGAGTAATTGTGTTGATTGATGTTATGGTGTTCTTGTGGGTTGATTTTGTTGAGTTTGGTTGAAGAAGTTGGTTTGAGCAAATTATCGAACACATGGTGGGCACCTTTGAAATTGGGTTTCTTGTTGATATGTGCTTGAATTGGGATTTTCTTATGCTCCTAGTCATTTGATATGATGCTTTGATAGATAATTGAGTTGCTTAGATGATGATTGAAGAGAATTTTTGGTTATGGAACTATCTTGTTCATTGGGATTGTTCATGTTTATTAAGATAATGTGTCGTATGACTAATTTGGTATAATTATCTATTTTTCGTAGGATATAATGAATCGTGGAGGTAGAAACTCGGGAGGTAGAGGCCGTGGAAGGGGTTCAGACGACAATGTTATACCGGGGGCAGCTATTCAAACGTCGATCTTTAGTGTTTGATTGAAGACGGGCGAGGAAAAGGCGAGGTGGAAAACGCTTTCCAATTTGCGATTGGTGGCAACGAGGTACGTGGACGATGAGGCAGTAGTCACCCTTGGCCTCTATGATGATGTAGTAAAGCTAATTCGAAGAGCCGGATGGGAATATTTGATGACGCAAAAATGGCCGACGTATGTCGGTTTTACATTGGAGTTCCTTGCCACTTTGGAAGTCGAGAAGACGAGCTATGATCATATGGTGAAGACAATGAAATTTCGTCTTCAAAATAAAAACGACAGTCTCGATACAAAAACATTAGAGAAAGAGATATATTAAGCCCCGGAAGATCCTAGCATCCCGTCGTCCTTTAACTCCCGTGATGCGTGGAGTTTGATAGTCGGGACTCCATCATAACCCGCCTTGAGCTACATCCCAAAGTCGGCCAAGGCAACCTCAATACGCAATCCGGTGTTGAGGTTTTTGCAGAAAGCAGTGGCGAGCACCATATTTGCTAGAGGAGAGATGGGCGATTGTTCTCTCCGAGAGCTTACTACCATTTGGTGCATTCTAAAGAGTAAGCCCGGACTCACTGGGAAGTGGGTTGCGATGCATTTGTGGGAGGCGGCCATAGCCGAGTCAGGGGTCGTGTGCATGGTGGCATGATTACGCCCATTGCGATGTTTTGTGGGGTTGACGTGACGGTGATGGCCCCCGTGAGTGCCACGCCGTTGATTAATATGGCGGCACTCAAGGCGATGAACTTTGTTCGTCAGGATGGCAACCGATACTTGTTCATACAGAAGGCTCACGATCATTTCCCATTGTCGAATGTCAGTTCACCACGGTTGATAGTGACGATGACGTGGTGAACATTAATATGTGAAGCGATGCACACTTGGCGATGATAAATGAGGTGCAAACGGCATTTGGCCTGTCGGTTGGGGGCGTGAGTAGGAATGTCCGACCTCGCGTAGAGTTGCACTCGAGCGTGGAGGAGGAGAATGAGTACGAGCGAGGCGGAGACATTCCGATGGATGTTCCAAAAATCTCCAATCAAGGAGCGGAGAGGCCCGTTTTCCCTCCTCCCTTGAGCTTAGATGATCGGATGACAAGTTTGGAGGCCGAGATGAGAGGTGTGTGGGCAGATCAGAGAGACATGATGGCGATGATTCGCCAAATGCATCAGTGGCACATGGATGAGGGCCATTTTGGCCCACCACCTAGGTGAGTTTTTTTTTGTGAGTGTTTCTTGATCCTTGGTTATGAATTTTTCTATTCCCTCTTGTGATTCATAGAATTCGAATTTGAGATCGTGTATCGATCCGGCCGGCAAAACGCCGTGGCTGATGTGCTATCGCGACGGACCGATGTAGCCGAGCTCGAGGCAATATCCGGCCAACGTGGGCCGTATGGGAGGAACTTAGGAAGGCGCAGGATGACGACACCCATTGTTAGGACCTGCGCCGAGGAATTGAGGCTGACAACGCCGTCGTCGCCGACTACGAGCAACATAACGACCTAATACTCTATTGGGGCCGAGCGTTTGTCCCCGACAGCGGACAACTCCGTGAAAAGATCATGCAACACTTTCATGACTCGAAGGTTGGCAGACATTCAGGGTTCTATCAGACATTGATGAGGATGACCAACACATTCTACTAGCAAGGGCAACAAAGAGCGGTCCGAGACTACGTCGCGTGCTGCGATGAGCGCCAGCGCACGAAGCGACTGGGCGGGCTGCTGCAACCCTTGCTTGTGCTCGAGAGAATTTGGGAAGATATTACCATGGACTTCAATGGGGTCATAGTCGTGGTGGATAGGCTTACAAAGTATGCACACTTCGTGCCTCGTATGCACCCCTACACGGCGAAATCCATCGGCAAGCTATTCATCGAGTACATTATGAAGTTGCATGGGGTGCCGCGCTCGATAGTTTTTGATAGTGACCTGATCTTCATGAGCAGCTTTTGGTCAGAATTTTTGAAGTTGCAAGGAACCGAGCTATCGATGAGCTCGGCGTACCACCCACAAACGGACGGATAAACGGAGGTGAACAACCGCACGCTCGAGCAGTACTTACGGTGCTACGTGCATCAATTTCAAAGAAGTGGGAAAACTTTCTACCATTGGCCGAGTATTGGTATAACACCACATACCATGACTCGAGTATGGCCGAAAACTGCCGATGCTCATGAGTTACTCGGAGGTAAGCGTAATCAACGACGAAGTCGGCCGAGAACTAGTGGAGCGTGATTTGATGTTGCGAGAGTTGAAGAAGAACCACGAAGGCTCGATCAACCGCATGAGGGCCTATCACGATGGAAAATTTCGGGAGGAAACCTTTGAGCCCGGCGACTACGAGTACTTGAAATTAAGGTCATTCAGGCAGCGCACAGTAGCAGAAAGCAGCAACCAAGCTCGGGGTCCGCTTCTACGGGTCGTATCAGGTTCTGAAAGGCATAGGCCAGGTAGCTTATCGCCTTGAGTTGCCGAAAAGCTCACACATACATCTGGTCATACATGTCTCACAGCTCAAATGAAGTCTAGGAGAAGCGCACAAGTGGTGCGAAGAGTTACCGGTGACCGCCGTCGATGGGCGAGTTATTGTGCGACTGAGCCGAGATATCGAGTACCGCCAAGTGAAGAAGGTCGGTCACTATCACTGGGAGGTGTTGGTCGAGTGAGAAGAGTTGCCGACAGAAGAGGCCACTTGGGAGAATTTAGATGAAATGAGTTCCTGAATTTCGCCCTTGAGGATGTGGCACGGCGACTCAATAATGCATCAAGGCGCGCCTATCACGCGCGAAGGAGGTTAGCTAGGCGCGCGGGCCAATCATAAGCGATCGAACGGGACACGCAAGACAGCGTGCACGAGCAAGGCGCGCGACCGCTAAGGATCGACTGGCGCATCGGCTAAGGGCGCGGAAGACGCGAGCAGCGAGGATACACGGGCACACCCGGGGAGCGATACCTTAACCCTCGAGGCAAACGGTAAGGCGCGCAATGCACGCGCGATAAGCAAGGCCTTAGCCCTCGAGGCAAGCGGCAAGGCAGGCAGGGGTGACGCGCACGGGACAGCCGCAAAGGACAAAGGTGCGCACGATACGCGTGGCGGCGGCACAAACTCGGGGACGAGACCGTAGCCCGTGAGGAAAACGCCGAGGCACGCGAGAAGAGTCCAATGCGGCTAGGGTTCCAAGACTTGGAGTACAAGATTAGATCTTTAGTTTCCTTATTTCATTATGATTTCTAGATTGTTTAGAACACTTAATATTTTATTGCTTTGTAAGGAGATTTAGTTGAATTAGGAGTAGATTTATTTGAAGCCTATATAAAGTCGCATGCTCTTGATATTTTCGATCATTGAATTTAATACAAAAAATTAAACTTTTGTTCAAACACTTTGCCTTAAATTTCTTCTTGATCTTTTTGCAATTTTATTTGTTTCGAAGGGACGCGAGTGTGTGAATCTCAGAAGCACCTATCGACGATTTAAGGCACGAGTGTACGGCGTATCAGCAATCAAGACACGCGATCTTCATCACGGCGTGGCGGCAAAGAATTGATGGTGGGAAGAAGCAGAGAGTGAGCTATCTTGTTTCTTGAGCATTTTAATTTTTATGGGTGGAGAGAGAGAGAGAGAGACATAGACGACTGGATGATTGGGGTGAAAGCAATTTATTTGAGGTGTGGGTCCACTGAAAATTTGGTGTGTTATTAAATGTCTATTGTACCCTTACTGTACATAGAAAAGCTGAAAAAAAATTTTTTACCTTTGGATGATGAGATCTGGTGGCTAAGATTTATTCACATTTTTTCATTGAGCATCACTGTCACCGGAGCGCAACCCCATATAGATATATATATATATTAGTATTTATATATATATATATATATATTATGTTGTAAATATATATTTATATACACTATTTCCAAACTTTAGCTTTCCATGGAACATAATAATTATTATATTATGTTGTAAATTATAATTAATTTATGATATATTTTTCTTTTAAGAAAAATTACTAAAAACGCTAATTTGGAAACTTAAACATTTTAACTTCTAAAATGAGTAATTACAGAAGATTTGAAGCGATCCAAACAATAATCAAAGTTTTTAACTTTTATCATCTTTTATTGTTAACCAAGAAATATTAAAATCACAAGTATGTTAATTAGATTTTGAAAAATATATTAATTGTATGTGCATATTGTATGTCAAAGTTTTTAAATATGCACATTTTTTTTAATTTTTTTTAAATACTAATTACATTATTTCGTTCTCATGTTTTCTTTAAAATATATTAATTTTATTATTTGAATTTAAGTGTGTCAATTTATTATAAGTTGAACTAATTTTAATTTGTAAGTAATTAAAATAAATAAAAAATATTAGATATTTAATATTGATTTCTAGGCCCAGACTAGGCGCCGCCTAGGCCCTGCCTAGACACTCTAGACGCTAGTCGAGCGCCTAGCGGGCACCTAACAACTTTTAGAACAATGAAATTACCAACAAGACAGTAAAGATAAGCCAACGATATAGCCATCTCAATAAAGCATGTAAAAAGAAAGATGTGAAGCATGGTAATAAAATAATAATGGTTTACTGTTTTGTAAAAAAACGTTAAAAGGCTAATGTGCAGTGGCGTTAGTTTTGGCAATTGCTCGCAAGAATTAAAGACAAATGGTTTTAGGTGGCATCGTCCTTTTCACAGCCAGATTCCAAAACTGGAGCAGAATCTTTGCCAAGTAAGTTCTTGTATATAGCTAAGGCTTGAGCCATCATGTTGGAAGGATTCGAAGCACTCGAGGGAAGTAAAACGGTCGTTCCCTGTGTAAAAACAATTATGTAAACATATATGATTTTGTTGGAAAATATTTCTGTCTCGTTCGTATTTATTAAAACTCGAGTAATTATGAATATTTTTGTTACCTGTTTTGCTATATTGCTGAATGCGTGAATATATTGTTCGGCGACTCGTAAACTAGCAGCCTGCAAAATCGCGATTCTCGATCAATAGAGCCATGCGATGAAAAACTTAATAGAAAAGGAAATCTTTTCCGAGTTCAATTCAAGATATAGAAGTAAATTGAACATAGATATATATAAAAAAAAAAATATATATATATATATATATATGAAATTAGAAAGAAAAAGAAAAAGGTTTTGCAGTGAAGCTTGCTATTTTAGCCAAATAAAGAGGTAAGACATATTTCAATGGCGATTTTGTTACCTCCACACCGCCGTTTTCTTTGAGGGTTGTTGCGACCACATTAATTCCTTCGGCAGTAGCCTTTGCTTTGGCAAGTATAGCTTGTGCTTCTCCTGTAATACCGTAATTTTAAGTAAATAATTGACTCTTAATTAGGCTTGTTTTGAAAAGAAGGGAAGTAATGAAGACTAAAGTTACAATGCATATTCTCCATGTTTCACTCATCACAACAAACAACATCCGAAGCTTTAAGAAATCTGTAAATGGTAATCAAGATCCGAGATGGGTTACGAACCTCGAGCCCTGTTGACCTGGTCCAGCTGGGCAGCTTCTGATTCAAGGATCACAGCCATTTTTTCCCCTTCTGCGATATTAATATTTGCCTGCTTTTTCCCTGTATATGATTGATTAGCACATCAGTCAATAGTTTATGAATGGTAGCACATAACTTACAATAATATGTGAATACGTACGAACAGGATTTCAAGCCATTTATTTACCTTCAGATTCCAAGATTTGAGCTCTCTTTTTGCGCTCAGCTTCAGCTTGCATCTCCATAGCTGCCTTCACCCCAGGTGGTGGCGATATATCCCCTGCATTTAGTCGACAAAATCCAATCAGAAACTCGTCAAATATCAAACTACATAAATATTTCTATGGGTTATATATATGATCTCACTTATTTCGTAACGAAGACACTGTAATCCCCAATCTTTTGCAGCTTCATTGATGGCAATCTGCAACAAATGCATATCCAAAGCAGTGCGCATAAAAATTGAGTAAAACACAACTAATGTATTTGCATACGAAGTACACTACCAAGCAAAACAAACCACACACACCTCAGTAAAATGTAAAATAGTTTCGTATCAACAGATTCGGAGGCAGATCAGTTATACTTTTGTCAAGATTATTTGCTTAAGTCAATCTAAGTCATAAATCTTGTATATCTTAGCACTTTATTAACCGAAAAAGTGATTTGAGAAAATGAAAACTCACGACTATCTTGACATTGAGTCGGTCCCTTTCTTCAAAAGTCTTGTCGAGGGTAATTTTACCCAGCTCACTTCTCATGGTAGTTTGAGCAAGCTGAATCACGGCATACAGCGGGTTCTGAACTCCATACGATGCCAATTTTGGATCCACAATCTGATCATTATATAAATATTAAATATGAGTTGATTAATATTGAAAGAGTAAGTAAATGATTAAAAAGTGGGAGACTGTGGAGTGAAATGAACCTTAACATAGAGGACCCCGTCGATATGAATGCTGACGTTGTCCTTCGTAATAGCAGACTGGTCTGGAATGGGAATTGCCTCTTCTTTCAGAGAATGCGCGTACGCGATTCGATCCACAAACGGAACCAGTAAATGGATTCCAGGCGTTAGTGTTTTCACGTACTTCCCAAATCGTTCGATCACGTAAGCTCTCCTCTCCGGGACAATACGGACTCCCCAGTTCATAGGTGGCTCGATGTCATACCTTCATAATTTGTTGATCCCATCAACGGAGAGCAAATAAGAATAATATTATCATTAATTGTAATAATAATAATAATCATAATAATATTACCTGGTGGTGGAGTCGCGTTGGTGATGGATGTGGCGCACGCCGGAGTAGAGTGGGCGGTTGAAAATTGGCGGAGAAGCAGTGGATAGCGGCGAGCGACCAGCGGCCAGACATCGGAGCCTGTTGAGAGAATTTGGCCTCAAGAAACTCATCGTCACGTCCAAGATTTTTATTATAGAATTACGGATTGATTACATGTGTTTATATAATGATTCAACATTCCTAAAGCCCATTGCACAAGTCACTTGTCCCTCAAGAAACCTCTAAACAATAGTACAATTAATACACACCAGAACTCCATAATTCTCATACAAATCTGTGTATGTCTAATATCCCAACATAAATATAAGTAGCTTGCCAAATATTCGTCAAACAAATCCGCTCATGCACTTGAACAAATTCCATTGCCGCTAATACTTTAATTACAAGTCAAATTTTGAGAAATAAACAACAATAAAGAAAGCAATAAAATTGAAAAAAAAAAATCTTTATTTATATCTATATGGTGAACCAATTCATATTGCGATAATTGGCATGTTTTTGGACAGGAAATATTCTTTGTTCATATTTGACTTTTAATTAATATTTATTGGCAATTCTTATTTATCAAAAAATTATTACTTTTTGTTTACTCAACGGCTGATATTAGTTAACTATACATTGACTTAATTAGAGGTATTTTGAATGTAGACTGAATAGATATATTTTCAATGATATCTTATTGTCTATTTTATAGTAATTTGTTGGCAAAATTAAAGATATAATATATTATGAAAATTGTTTTGGTTAAATATATTACCATATATGGTTGTATATATTCATTTAGTTAGTTATATTTACCGATATAAGTAGTTAATATATATTATAAACTAATAAAAATATTTATATTTGAATCATACTAATTTAATGAATAATTTAAAATATTAATATTCTTTTTTCAAATGAGTCAACTTAACCATAAAAATGTAAACCTCCATTGACTATCGAATTTGTAATGATAATACTATTCAAAATTAAAAAAATATATTAATAAAATTAATATTTGATGGTCGGGTATCAACCAGAATTATAAATTTCATCATAAAAATATCTACCTATATTAAAAAACTATTCGATATTTGTTATAAATTTTATTATATAATATTTTATAAATAAAAATAAATAAATAAAATAGTCAAGTATCAATATTTAATTATATCACTTGGTAACCATAGAATTATATGATATATATATAAATATTTGAATGGATACTAATTAACTTATTATGTAAGTTGAAAAAATAAATTAAAAGAATAAATATGAGTAGAAAATATAAAATAAAAATTGAATATATACTCATATTGCCAAAATTGGCATGTTTTGGACAATTCATATTTTTGGCATGCTCTTGGGCAGGAAATATTCTTTGTCCATATTTAATTTTTAATTAATATTTATTTATTAGCAAATCTTATATATAAAAAAAATAATTATTTTTTGTTTACTCAATGATTTATATTCATTAACTATACATTGGCTTAAATAGAGTTATTTTGAATGTAGACCGAATAGATATATTTTTAATAATATCTTAATGTTTATTTTATAGTAATTTGTTGGCAAAATTAAAGATATAATATATTATGAAAATTGATTTGGTTAAATATATTACCATATATGGTTGTATATATTCATTTAGTTAGTAATATTTACAGATATAAGTAGTTAATATATATTATAAGGATAATGCTCCCCTACCTACGGTGAGTACATGTTAATATGCCCACCGCTTACATGACATGCAAAAATTGGTGATGTTAATATGTTAAAAAAGACATCACCAATGTGTGCATGCCACATAAGCGGTTGACATATTAACATGTGCTCACTGTGGGTAGGTGATCATTACTCTATATTATAAACTAATCAAAATGTTTATATTTGAATAACACTAATTAAATGAATAATTTAAAATATTAATAATCTTTTCTAAAATGAGTCAACTTAACCATAAATGTAACCCCCATTGACTATCGAATTTGTAATGATAATACTATTCAAATTTAAAATAATATATTAATAGAATTAATATTTGATGGTCGGGTACTAATCAAAATTATAAATTTCATTATAGAAATATCTATCTACATTAAAAATCTATTCGATAATTGTTAAAAATAAATTTTATTATATAATATTTTATAATTAAAACTAAATAAATAAAATAGTCAAGTATCATTATTTAATTATATCACTTGGTAATCATAGAATTATATGATATATATAAATATTTGAATGGATGCTAATTAGCTTATTGTGTAGGTTGAAAAAATAAATTAAAAGAATAAATATGAATAGAAAATATAAAATAAAAATTAAATATTTACTCATGAAAAAATTATTATGCATTAGGATTAAAGCTACTAAAAAAAATTAAATATCAAACATTTTAACATTTCACGCACTTAGAACTAAGGAAGATAATATTATGGGTTAAAAGTTACTCAATTATCGAACAATGTGGAAATTATGAATTGTTAAAAAAGTTATAAGAAGATAATCGACAATTTCATAAGTACATGTAAGTAATTTGTGTGCAAATATCATATGATCATATGAATTTAAAATATTTTATGAAGTTATAAATAATAAATTTTATATATTATATAGTCAAGACTTATAAAAATATTAAAACAAAATAATTATACTAAATAATAAATTTTGTAATATTATCGAATTAAATATTGTGTTGAATAGAATTGCATTCTTTCTATAACAGTTTGGTAATATTTAAATGGTTAATTATTTAGGGTATTATAACTCGTGCATCACACGGGTATCAACACTAGTCTATATAATGGATCAATCCTTGTTGTATATTTACATGATTTTGGGCAAAAAAATTTCGTCTATGTTTGACATTTAATTAATATTTATTTATTAGCAAATCTTATGTAGAAAAATATATTTAATTTTTATACACTCAATGACTATTTTTCATTAACTACAAATTGGCTTAAATTGAAATTTTGACCGTAGATTTATTAGTACATTTTCAATAAGATCTTATATTAATTTAATAGTAATTTATTAACACAGTTCAAAAAATTATTATAAAATTGTTTTGAATACATATGTTAGGTATTAATTTAATGAATTATATTCACTATTGAGAAGTATTTAAAATATTTAATAAAATAATCAGAATAACTATGTTTAAATCATAATAACTGAATAAATAATTTAAAATGTTAATAAAATTTTTGAAATGTAGTCAATTTAACTATAAAATTGTACATCCCCATTGAATATATCATATCCAGTGATAATACTATTAAAAATTTAAATAATATACTAATAAAAATAAATTTTGATGGTCGGGTGCAATTCAGAATTATAAATTCCACCTTAAAAGTATCTATGTACATTAAAAAACTATTCAATTTTTAAAAATATATATTTTTTATATAGTATTTTATAAATGAAAAATAAGTTAGTAAAATAGCAATCTATAATAATTTAAATTATAGCACTTGGTAATCATGGAAATATATAATATGTCTAAATATTTGTATAGATACTATGTTACTCAGGTCAAAAACATGAATTAAAGAAATAAATATAAATAAAAGATGAAAACATAAAAATAAAATATATTACTATTAAAAATTTGTGTGTTGAATAAGGATTAAAGTTACTAAAAATTAAAATTTATCTATCAAAGTTTTTAACATTTAATGCACCTAATAATTATAGCGGAAGATAAATATTATGGGTTAAAAACGTTGATAAATTATCAAGCAATGTGAAAATTATGAATTGTTTAAAAATTTATAAGACTATGATAAACGACAATTTTATAACACTACAAGAAAATAGAGTTCTAGTAAAGAATTTTGTTGTCACTGTGTTGTCACTATATATACTGTCACTATATCTACAATTATTGTCACTATATCTACAACAAGTGTAGATATAGTGACAATAATTGTAGATATAGTGACAACAACTGTAGATATACTGATCACAGTAGATATAGTGACAACATAGTGACAACAATCGTATATATAGTGACAAAAAAATTCTTTACTAGAACTCTATTTTTTTGTAGTGTAAGTACATACAAGTAATTGTATGCAAATATCATATAATCTTATACATTTTTAATATTTTATAAACTTATAAATAATAAAATTTATATATTATATAGTAAAAAATACAATATATATATATTTATATATATAAATTGAAATTAATAATAATAATAAATAAATAAATATCATATTAATACTGAATAGAATATTGCAGAGAATATAATTTCATATTGTCTTAAATAATTTTATAATATTTAAATAAAAAAATTATTTTTTGTGATGTACCATGTGCATTGCACGGGTATCAACATTAGTGGTAAAGATAGCTCGACTTTAGTATCATATACCCTCATCCACACAATATATATATTGCAGAATGCGTTGAGCCTAAATTACATGTTCTCACGTTTTGGAATCCTATGAGGCAAAAAATTGTCCTTCGGAGTCAGACTTAGATATAAATTAATTTTTATTATACAGAAATAAGTAGGTTTAGATTTCATTTAACGTCAATATCATTCATATTAAATCCTAATTGATCTCTTCCTTCTTTTATTCTACAATTACTTACCATAAGCTATTTTAAGTTTCTGTTTCCTACATTATCATACTTTAAATTTAATTTTATATTTAACTCATACATCAATTATTATAAATGTTTATTCTTTCTATTTTTAAAACTTTAACTTTTTTTTGTTTGTATTATATATATATATATATATATATATATATATATATCAAATTAGTAACACCCCGTTTGAATTAGAATTATTTGAGATTATTTATTGGTTTATTATTGCCATTATTATTGCTTATTATTATTATTATTTATTTGTGATTAAATGTTTAAATATTATTATTTGTCAAATTTTGTTTGTCTAAATGCATATCTATATTATTATTATTATTATTATTATTATTATTATTATTATTATTATTATTATTATTATTATTATTATTATTATTATTATTATTATTATTATTATATATTTTTTTAAAAATATTGTCTATATTATGTATTAGCGTGTTTTATTTTAATTTATCATCGCATTAAACTAGGTCTCGTATATTATTTACTT